GGTGGGAGTCCCCCCGCTGTTGGAGAAAACAGGATCAGCCTCTCCAGCTCACCCTCTCCCCTCACCTTCTCCCCACCACCCCAAAAAAGCCACCTCACCCCCTGGTAGATCTCATCCAGCCGCCACCAGAAGGTGCGGACGGACAAGCAGCCGAATTTGAGGTGGGGGCTGAGGACGGTGGTGCTGGGGATCAACGAGGTGGGTTCTGTCTCGGGCTTTTTGAAGCTGCACACCCAGGTCTGGGGAGAAGACATCATGTTTTTGGGATATGGGGTGGGAAATGAAACAGCCCCAAAATTAGGGTGATGGGTGCTGAGCGCTGACCGTCTTCTCCATGAGGGTGTCGAGCCGGGCGAGCGCCGCTGTCTCACCGCCGGGGTAGAGGTGAGGACCCACCTCATTGGGGTCCTGGCCCAGCTCCTCCAAGGTGGGGACGTCGTAGTTGGTGTCATGGCTGAGCTGGCACAGGGTGTGGCAACCTGGGGGGCCATGTACAGCGGGGATGTGACTGCCATCACTCTGCTCCAGAGTGAACAGCGAGGGAGATGTTGACCCAGCTTAGTGCTCCACCCCGTGCTCACCCTGAAGATGCTCCTGTGTGAGCGCCGGTACCGGCTTTTCCGGTGGTCCAAGGGACACCAGGAGCTTCTGCAGGTGCTTGTAGGTCAGGGGGGCTTTGCCGTCGTTCAGGGCGAGGACTCTGGGGAGGGAGAGGGGAGGGGACACGCTCAGCACTGGGGCTGGATCACCCATATCCCGAGGGATGGTGCTAAACACCCACCTCTGGGTGTCATAGAGGGTGTGGGACACCTCCTGGATCACCTCCACACCGTGCTGGGCCGCCAGCTCGGCCACGGCAGCGTCACGGCGCCGGGCGGATGGTTCAGTGTCCACCTCGAAGGTCAACCTCGTGGTCCTCCACGCGTGGAAGAGCCGGGGGAACACCTCCTGTGGGCAACCCCATGCCACCAGCAACCTACCGGGGGAGCAGGGTGGGTGCAAATCCCCCTGAGACCTCAGCCCACATCCATCGGGGGACTCACCTGGAACCCATTTTCCGCAGGTTCCCATCCAGATCCCACAGGGAATCGAGGAGGAACCGGCGGGCGTTGGCGCCTGGTGGCGCGTCGGTGGGGTCGAGGATGAAGAGGGGATGAAGGCAGCGGGAATCCCTGACCGCTGCCAGCAGCGCCGGGTTGTCGTGTAGCCGGAGACCTTTCCGAAACCAGTGGATGGAATTGTGCTGCATGGTCAGGGATTCTTCAGAGAGTGATTTTTTGGGGAAAAAATGATGGGTTTGGGGGAAATTTAACTCAGAAAATAAACGGGAGCAGCAAAGGTGGACCTGGCTGTGGTTATAAAACCAGGCGTGGTGACGCCCGGCTGGTGACGGATGTGGGAGGGAGGCCCCGAGGAGGGTTGGTTGGTTTCCCTCCCCACGGGATCGCTGCTGACTTCCTTCCGCACGCTCAGGCGGAGCCCGGAGCTGCCGGTAACCGGGGAGGGCGGCGGCAGTGGAGGGGGCAGGGACGCAGCTCCTCCACTCTGCTCCTGGGGAAGCTGGTGGGTACCTCTGTCCTCCCCCCAACTCCCGGGCTGCTCCATGAGGAATCGCTTCCCAGCTGTAAGGATTGAGCAGCCTCACCATTCACCGCAGATCCCATTAGGCTCCAGAGTGAACGTGCTGTATCCCAACTCTCCTTTCCCATCTAGGTGATTGTGGAAGATTTTTCTTCTCGCCAAACGCAGGGGCTGATGTATCCCCCTTCCCTGCTCCCAACTCCTGAATTCCAGGTAGGCATCTCCCAAATTTCCCCCCCCACCCTTCCCCATCACGCCACGCTCGAGCTTTTCGTACTTCCCAAGCGGTGACTCTCTCGGTGACGGCGCTTTCTGCGGTTACACCGGTATCCTGCCAACACTTACCGCTGTCCTGGTGCCATTTTTGGAGGTGGGGAAAAGTCTTCAACACAACTTGGGATGTTTTATTCCAGAAATGATGGAAAACAGCAGGTGCCTTTATGCCTGGGGCTCGTTTTCCACGTTCCTGGATAAAATCTGGTCACCCCAGTGACTGATGTCGAGGCATGAGGTGGAAGTGACACCAGGACAACCATCACCCAAGTCACCTTTGGTTCTCCAGCGGTTGATGGATCCCAGTTAATCCCCCCTTTTCCCACCCGCAGGATCCTTTCCCCACCGCCGGGAATGAGGGTCTCTCTTCCCCGTCGGCTCTCGGCCTCGCTCGCTGCAGGTGTGTCTCCTAAAAATAACGGTCAGAACCCTCCTCCCTGGGAAATTTGGGGAGGTGGAGGTGGAAAACCCACCAGGATGGACGTTGTGTCCTTGGAATAAACCCCACCGGGGTTGGGATCTGTCACGGGTGGGTCCCACTTGCCTAATTTCTCCTATTTCCTAATTTATTTCCTAATTAATTTATTTCCTAATTTATTTCCTAATTAATTTATTTCCTAATTTATTTCCTAATTAATTTATTTCCTAATTTCTCCTTTGTTCGGTATTTTTGACGCTGGCAGGAGTGGTTTCACGCCGGCGATTGGCGGTTGAGCGGCGCTATGGCTGGTGAGTCCACGGAAAAGGGGGATGAACCCACCGGGGTGCCCACGGGTCTTGGTGATATCTGAGGTTTTAGGGGTTGGGGTGGTTTTTTGGGGTGTCCAGGTGAGATCCAACCTGGTTCTTTCCATCTGGAGATGTTCTCCCGAGTCCTACAAACCCCATGGAGCTTCCCCTCAAATCTCACCGTGATCCTTCCACAGGTTGGTTTAGACGTCTCTTGCACAAGTCCAAGCCCAGCTCGATGGTGGAGAACAACCTCAACAGCAACTCCTCTACTTCATCCTCACCTTCTTCATCCTCTGCTGAGAGCTCCAGCTCTTCTCCCACCACGAGCTTGGCCAGGTCCATCCCCCTGTCACCCATCTCCGTGTCCGATATCAACGCCTCGGGCAGCGCCCGTTGGACCAAGAGTTACGATGTTTGTATCTGTCACAGCGAGGTGGACCTGGAGCTGGTGGAAGAGTTGGTGTCCTACTTGGAGAATCAACCTGAAAGTTTCCGGTGCTTTCTCCAGCTGCGGGATGCCGCCCCGGGAAGCGCGGTGGTGACGGAACTGTGCGACGCCGTGCAAAACAGTCACTGTTGGGTGATGCTCATCACCCCCGGCTTCCTTGGAGATCCTTGGTGTAAGTATCAGATGCACCAAGCGTTGGCTGAAGCTCCCATGGCCAACGGACGCACCATCCCGGTGTTAAAGGACGTGGAGCGGAAGGATTATCCCAAGGAATTACGGAATCTCTACTACATCTCCATGAGGTTGAAGGAGAACAGCTTCAAGCAGATCAGAGACACCGTCATGCGTTGTGAGTACACCGGTGCTGGTGGAACATCACTCCAGATTCCATAAATTCATTGAAATAATTGATTTTATTTATTTAGGTTCATTGGTTGCTAATAAGTTTCATCTGTTGCTTCTGCAGATCTCCAGGAGCTTTGCCGGAGCTCCACGAGCAGGATGGAGTAGTGCCAGGAACAGGTAGAGGTGTCCTTGTGGGTGTTGAGGTGCTGTCACCACCAGCTCCAGGACACAGATGGACCTCAAGGAATCAGGAGGGAGCTGAAGATGAGGAGATCCTCACACCTGTGGTTGGAATCTGCCACATCCTGGTGATGCCACCACCATCCAAGTGGCCAAACTCTCCTCGGTGGGGATGAGGACATCCTCCAGCAGGTCCTCGTGCAAACACTAAGTTCTGACGTCGGGTGGGTCTGGGGGAGGGTCTTTTTATGGTGGTGAGGATGGATTCTGGTGGGTTTAGACCCTCCTTGGACCCCCAATAAGCTGACATGACGCTTGTCCCTCAGCGCTGGGGACAAGCACCGGTGACGCCTTCGCGTGGGTTTGGTGGAATTATGAAAAACACTGAAATTCTCGAGTTTTGGGGTGTTTTGTTTTGTTTTTTGTTTGTGTGGCGAATGGATGTGGAAGGAACTGACCCTGAAACGGTGGAAGGTTGATCCTTGAGTCATTGGGGTGGGGTGGGGACAGTTTTTAGCAGGGGAGGA